GGTTTTAAAGAGGAATTGTAGAGTAGACATGTTGATTATATAGGATATATCAGAACACACAGGATATGAGTAGTTAATAGGTTATCTTTGTACCTTCTTTTTACTTTGTCCGAAGAAACAGAAACAAAAAACAATGCATGATCTAAGAGACAAGACCATCAGACAAATTTATATATTGGTCATATTTTGTTTTGGTGCTTATCGAAACAGTTGGTTTCGTTCGATGCTCGTTTTATATATTGATCATATTTTATTTTGGTGCTTATAGAAGCAGTCGTATATATCGAGTTTGTTATATGATCCTCTTAGATGCATCTCCATGCACGTTTTTTCCCCCAACTTACCCGACTTCTCGTTTAACACTCTTTAGCACAACCTCTTTTAGATTGAACTTAGCAGGAACATGGAATCGGTTAGATCACATGCTATCAGCTGAGAAGTTCTTGACGATAAAATGTTGCAGGTTCGCAGTTCTTCGTGTACAAAATCGAGATATTATTCACAAGTTGTTTAAATTTGAAGAATTGAGAAAGAAAAAAAAAATCTTTAGGAAAGAAACCAAAATAGGCGAAGGGTGTAAAATCATGCAAGAATAAGCAAAAAAATTTAGGTGACAAGATAGAAAATGGGTTCAATTCTTGTGATGATTACGTTGGCTTCAATTCAATTCTTCACCAAGATCAAGAACTAAAGAGAGCGAACTTTACATATAATTCAACAGTATGATTTGTTTTTATTGTCAAAAAATACACAATCTCCTTTACAATTTACTCAATGCACCTGAAATTCCACAAATTTGTGCATTAGAATTACATTTAAACTTAAAATTTTAATATTTTAGGATTATTTTCATTAATTTAGCTATTTATAATAATAATAATAATAATATAGTTATTAATAAATAAAAAATAAAAATAAAAAACAGAAATTGTTACCTGTTGATTGATGATCATGAAGAAGCATATCATTGCAAGAAATAGCCAGAGAGGAACAAAGCAAAGAAGAAGAACAAGGTTCCATAGATGAGCACTGCCTTCTGACCTGAAGTCAGAGTGTTCCCTCCAAGTCCGTACTGCTGATTCTGAGCAAACCCCGCTATCTCCACACTCTTACTCTCGAAGAAGCTCTTCGCCGCCCCACACGTCGGGCACCGCCAGTCCTCCGGCAGCTGCTCGAACGGCAGCCCCGGCGCTATCGGATACGTCGGATCCCCAACCGCCTCGTCGAACTTATGCCCACACGACCTGCACTCATATATCCCCGTGTTCAGCACTGCAAATTTCTCCTCCATTCGCCGCCTGTCCAACTTCTCCTCCGCCGCCGCCGCCTCTTCCCCAACTACCGCGGCGAAATCCGGGTCGTCCGAAGTGGGTTTGTCCTCTTTGGAGACGTCGATGGAGTTGAGGGTGAAAATGGGGATGGGTCTCGCCGCCGCCGATCTCTGCAACGGCGGAAAGGCGACGAGGGGGGGTTTGAAGTTGAATCTGGGACTGGGAACGGAGGGTTGAGAGAGATGGAAGGAGAGAGTGGGTCTTGCAGAGGCATAAGCAGCAGCAGCCATGGATGGCGATGGAGATTTGAAATTGAAATCTGAGATGGGTTTTGTTTGTTTGGTGTGAGAAGGGGAATTAATTCAAAGGGAGGAGGAAGAATCAGAAGGATCCATGGAGGAGAAGCAGGAGCTGAAGGATAAGGTGTGGTGGGGAAGGACGAAGGAGGGAGAGATGCGAATCTCTTCCATTGGGCTTTACTTTCACCCGTCTCCTTCAAAAGAGCCCATTGGGCTTTACTTTGACCCGTCTCCCTCATAAGAGCCCATTGGGCTTTACTTTGATCCATCTCCTTGATGAGCCCATTGGGCTTTATTTTGACCCATCTCCTTCATAAGAGCCCATTGGGCTTTACTTTGACCCGTCTCCTTCAAAAGAGCCCATTAGGCTTTCCTGTGACCGGTCTCCTTCATAAGAGCTCATTGGGCTTTGGTCTGACCCATTTCCGTCAAAAGAGCCCATTGGGCTTTACTTTGACCCAATCAACCTGGAATCATAATTATTTGATCTCATTCGCGGTAAATAAAAATTTTGTTTGTATTATTATATTTTTGTTCAAAATATAATAAAATACTTCTCGACCATCGAACCTAAACGGTTGAAACTATATAACAAACAAACATGAGTTAAGCTTGCTTAAGCTCATAATCTTTTTCTTGAAGATCTAAGAAAAACAATTCAATGAAGAAAAAACTGATAAAAACTTGGAACATCCCAGAAATCATTTTTCATAATCTACCAACGATAAGCCTCAAATGATGGTAAAAAAACACAAGGAAATGTATATTTCCCGTAACGTCAAAAATTTTGTCCTCTGCAAAGAACCAAGTTTTCATATCACTAGTAATCAACAACCAAAAATACTGATTAACATAATTTGATCTAGGAGTAAAAACAAAACTAAAGGAAACTATTAAAAAGAGATCAAGACGATTCTGCAGATAATCCTTGGTGATGGGTACAAAATTCCAGCAATCAATCTCATTTTTTCTTTCCTGCCTTGGCAGCATCTGAAGCCTTGGTCTGTGAAGGGACATGAATGATAGGGTTAGTGGTGATTTTTAACATGAAGGTCAAGCTATCATTTCAAGATCATTATCAACTAGCCATATAACTTACCTTCTTGACTCCGCGGATTTTCTTTGCCCTGTTCTTCCTTTCCTTCATTTGCTTTCTTGATTTTTCTACCTTGGTGTCGAGTCCATTCTGACAGAAGAAGGAAAAGTCCAGCTTGAGTAATGTCATCAAGTGATGAAAGCAAAACTTCAGAGCATTATAATTGAAATTGTGCTTGAAATGCGACTGTAAATTACCCTGATTAGCCTGTATTTTGGCTCGTACTTCTTTGCATTTTCAACCGAATCATAGATTAAACCGAACCCAGTGGATTTACCACCACCAAAGTGAGTTCTGAACTTGAAAACAAAGATAGAATTTGGGTCTTTCACATCATAGATTCTGGCCAACTTCTCCTTCAGTTCAGCCTTGAGACCAAGAAATAGAAAAATAGACATTATGAGCACCATAAGCCAAAACACACACAAAAAAAAAATCAGCTGCATGAGCCAGAAAACTACTCTCTGATTCCGTAAGCGTGAAAGAAAATAAAGATTTTGACGATTTTAATAGGCAAAATTCAAAAAAAAAAAAAAAAAACACGAAATTAAGGAACCTATGTAGAAAAAATCTGATATTGGTTGAAAAGTTAGCTATTCAGGCAGCAGAATTATGTTCCAAAAGGGGGAGGGTGGAGAAAGGAACACAATAAAAAAAAAACGCTTAGATTCATGTAGTTTCCATTCGGATTGAGTGATATATCTTTAAGGCACTTAAAAAGAGTACATAACATAAATAACAGAGAAGAAAAAACAACAAATGAACTCGAAAAGGGCTTACCTTTGAGACATTGGGTCTTCCTGGGTGAAGAACATCAATGACCTGCATTAACCAGAAAACAAAAAAGTTAACAACGACTTCAAAACGTTTTCCATTCGTATTAAGATGAAAATTATAAAGTTAAAAAACAAAAAGAAGTCACCAAGCTATCCAGATACATAATCAGCAATCCTAAATCAGTAGGTAGAGAAGTAACACTAAAAACTCTAAACTCGAGATCATAGAGAAACCAAAAACTTCAAACTTCTTAAAGACATTGGGGTTTTAGACTAAACAAGACATTTTCAGCGTCAAACAAGTGCAACACAACGATCCAGAATCCACAAACAAACAAAGTCCAAGCAAAATCCTCAAAAAAGATATAGAAACATTTACTCGTACAGTTCCAAGTAAAGTTCAGCAGACAAGAATCAAACGCCGAAGCATCAATCCGAAACAAATCCAATCAAAAATCGAAAACGAAATGAATGCTAAAAGCAAAAAACGGCTGAGTAAGATCCGAAAAACTCACAAATTGCTTTCTGGATAGGAGCCTGTTGGTCATGAACTTCCTGGTCCGGATGGTGACTGCCTTGTCCGCCATGGCTGGAGGTGCTCCGAAGAGGTTGAAAAGCTCAAAGAAGGCGAAGGGGCAGAGGAACGGCTGCTCTGATTACCTGATTTGTGATTTTGAAGAAGAAGGCTGCAAAACCCTAGCTGGTAAATAAAGTCATTGGAGGGCTAGGGTTTTGGGCTTTCTGCGTTATTGGGCCTTTATTGTTTTATTTGGGACTAAAGGTTATTGGGCCTAATTTTTGGGTTCACATAAATAAGAATTTTATAAATTAAATTAGTTCATAAAATCTCCCAAATTTATGGTTAAATTTAAAATATACATTTTCTCGTATATTTATTTTATTTTTACTCAATTTTATAATTACATTTTTTATTATTTATTCTTCAAAACTATTTGGAAGGTGATTTTTTTTCAAAAATATAATTAAATAAATATTTTACTAATTAACATTTTACTTTATTAAATATAAAAATTTGAATAAATAATTCTGAACCAACTCCATAAAATTAAAAAAGAAAAATTACTGTCAGATTGAGTTGAGTTCATTATTTAATAAGTGTTGTACTCCCTCTCCAAACGGTCGGATCTCACAATCCAACCATTCGAGGCTCAGTGTCCTCGTTGACACACTTTTTAGTGTCTGGTCTGATACCATTTGTAACAGCTCAAACTCACCGCTAATAAATATTATCCTTTTTGGTTTTCCACTCAAGATTTTTAAAACGTATTTGGTAGGAAGAAGTTTCGAAGCTCTTATAAAGAATGTTGTCTTCCCCTCTCCAACCGATCTGGGATCTCACAATCCACTCTGCCTTTGGAACCCAGCGTCCTCGTTGGCATATTGCCCGATACTTAGCTCTGATACCATTTGTAAGAGTCCAAGCACATGCTAGCAGATATTATCCTCTTTCGACTTTCCCTTAAAGTTTTCAAAACATGTTTCGTTCTCCTCTCTAACCAATGTAGAATTTCACAACTTGAGCTGCAGAAACATGACGTGTGCGAACCCAATCATGGTAAATGTAATTTATTTATTTACTTATTTATTCGACTTGATTTAGTGTTAGGAATCCATAAAAGAATACAAGGATTGACCTTACATTGTTACATATTCACAGCATCAACTGGGAGAGTGATAGTTCTATGAAGTGAGCTTGGCAGCAATGAACCAGTGCAGGCATTTTTAGCAGTGACTACCTTCTCCACAATGGAGGCCGCCTCCATGGCCTTGCGATTTCGAGCTCTTTCCGAGTCTGTACCGCAACAGCTACTATTTGTATAAACATGGCTATCGGTACTACTTCGGTTCGTGTCTCGAGCATACCTTTCATCTCTGAGCTTGCTTAATTCTATTTGGTACTTGGCCTTAATCCGTCTCATTTCTTGTTGAACATCATCTAATGAAGGGGAATTCAATAGGCTCCGAAGCGAACGTCTCGTGTTAAGAGCAGTTTTACGTTCGATTATCACTTCTTTCGTGTCCATGACTGTAACTGATCGATCTGTTTTCTCGTAATCTTCATCCGAGTGGCTATGTCTTGAGCTCATTGAACTAAGTTCACGGCTTTCATGACGTCCCCACGTTTCGGGATAATTCAAGCAAACAGAATGGCTCAACACATTTTCTGCAGCCTCTGCTGTATGATTCTCGGACTCGTCAGCTTGATACATTATCTCCTCAAAACGACCATGAATCGAAGCATGTCGATGTCCACAGCATGGAGCTACCTCAGAGTTCTCAATTATGGCATTGTTGTAAGTAGCAGTAGCACAATTATGGCAATAGCTTTGCCTCAGACCCGACCTCCATTCAGGCACCAAGGAAGCGATTTCCCCGTCGATCATATCAGCAATTCTCGTTACGTCTTGATCTGTAATATCCAGCTCTGCAACCATTTCCCTCGTAACACTCAATGCTGTATCCGTCTCGACGTCGAACGGGAAATAAATGTTCCTGATAAGCCCTGCAAACAAACGGTTTAGATTCGACATTCAATCGAAACGAAATGAAAAGAATCTGTATCAAAAATCTACCTTCTTTATCTGCAATTCTGAGTCTTAAGAAGATGCTACCACCTTCTCTCATCTTCCCTTTGATGCTGATATCAACATCATCAGAGTGTTCACCTTCACAATACTCAAAAAGTTCAATGCCATTGGTTTCAGTATCAATTGGATGATAACCTGACTCACTTGAAGCTTCAAAACTATAATCATATGGATATCCATTACAAAAGGAGCTGTCATAATCAACGGTTCTTAGATCATATTCGCCATTATCAACTTGAAGAAAAGCATCATTCAAAAGCTCCGATGCTGATAGCCTAAGCGAAACGGTCGCCAAACACTTATCGATGAACCGTCGCACTTCGGGATCCTTCACTTTGTACAAGGCATCTGGTTTTCTCCCCTAAAAATCTATTACACGTTAATCTCGAGCACACGAACAGACATGAACAGACATGACGAGCAAACGTAACACACGCACAAAGAGAATCTTCTTACAGATATGACTTTCTTGTAGATCTGAGCGGGATGAGTGCATTCGCTGTATGGATACTCGAAAGTTATCATCTCCAGCATGCACATTCCAAATGAATAGATATCGACTAATTCGTTGTACGCCTCCGCATACACTTCTGGAGCCATAAACTCGGGTGTCCCTATAAATTTATAACACTCAGACCTAACGACAATGAGAAAATGATCAATAGCTAGAGTTTGCATAATCTAGATTTGTAAAGTGTTTGAGTTTATGTACAAATTGATAAGACTCCTTCACTCTCTCGAGCTATACAAATCGAACCTGTAAGCCAAACAACCCCTGATACGAGTTGAGTTTCGAGGGAAATGGTAGAGACGGTTTGGGTTTATGAATGTCCATAAAACTTCTTCCCCCTTCCTAACTACGATTAAGATCGAGAGGATCCCGAACGCTCCACAATCTTAAGTTATACAAATCCAACCTTTAAGCCAAACAACCCCGGAAATGAATAGAGTTTCGAGGGAACTGGTAGAGACGGTTCGGGTTCATTAATGTCCATTGATTTAGACTCCTTCCCCCTTCCTAACTACGAATAAGATCGAGAAAAGCCCGAACGCTCCACAATCTTAAGTTATACAAATTGAACCTATAAGCCAAACAACCCCTGAAATGAATAGAGTTTCAAGGGAACTGGTAGAGACAGTTCAGGTTCATTAATGTTCATCGATTTAGACTCCTTCCCCCTTCCTAACTACGAATAAGATCGAGAAAAGCCCGAACGCTCCACAATCTTAAGTTATACGATTCGAACCTATAAGCCAAACAACCCCTGAAATGAATAGAGTTTCAAGGGAAATGGTAGAGACGGTTCGGGTTCATTAATGTCCATTGATTTAGACTCCTTCCCCCTTCCTAACTACAAATAAGATCGGGACGAGCCCAAACGCTCCACAATCATAAGATATACAAATCCAACCAGTAAGCCAAACAACCCCTGAAATGAATAGAGTTTCAAGGGAAACGGTAGAGACAGTTCAGATTAGACTACTTCCCATTTCCTAACTACGAATAAGATCGAGACGAGCACAAATGCTCCACAATCTTAAGCTATACAAATCCAATCAATAAGCCAAACAACCCCTAAAATGAACAGAGTTTCAATGGAAATGGTAGAGACGATTCGTCTCCACAATCTTAAGCTATACAAATCCAACAAGTAAATCGAACAATCAACGAAACAAATGGAGCTAACAGTAAAAACGCATACCGACACAATGATCAGCATGAGATTTCCTGAGAATTGCAGCAAGTCCAAGATCACCAATCTTAACCTCCCCTTGATTCCCATTAACAAAAATATTATCACACTTGAGATCTCTATGGATCACAGGAGGCTCATGGCTATGCAAATAATGAAGCCCCCTCAAAATCTGCCTGCACCAATGCTTCACAGCTCTAATATCAACTCTCTTATGCTTCAACCTATACCTATAGAACAACCCAGAAAGCAAAATGAACAGAGAAGCACTAAATAGCCAAGAAATCACAGAGAATCATCCAAATTGTGAAGAACACTTACTGTCTAAGAGTACCAGAAGTGAACATTTCAGTAACAAAATTGATGTTTCTATTAGCAATATCAACCCAAGAAGTGTAGAATTTCATAATATTTCTATGCTTCAATGTTTTCAAAAGATGAATCTCACAGTAAAGCCTTTCCAAATCTTCAGGACTTTGCAAGAAATCATAGAGTTTCACTTGATTCCAAGCGACCTCGATTCCTTCATATTCATCAAATGCTCTGTAACTACAAACAAAAAAAAAACCCATTAAAATGCTTCAAACCCCACAAAATGCAAGAAAATCCAAACCCTACACTGTTTTCGAAGCTCCTTTCCCCAAAACATCATCGTACTGCAACAAACAACAAAACCCAATCAAAATCAAAATCAAAATCAAACCCAAAAGATTAGGAAAATCAAAACCCTACTCTGCCATATCTGCCAGTGGGATCAACTTCAACAAAAACAGAGCAATCAGGCTCAAGATCTGAGAGACCATCCATTGCTTCTCCTCTCAAAACACTTGAACACTCAAGCTTTTGATTCTTCTTTAATATGTTCGAAACTCAAATGGGTTGAGAGAAGGGGGATTTCCCATAACCCCTTTTGAGAGGAACTAAGCGAAGAAGATGAAGATTGAAATAAGAATGAATTATTATAATGATTGTTGAATCGAGAGAAACCACGTTAATCCACAGGCAAGAACAGTGGCCAACCACCCCTCCCAAGAATGTGACAATCATACAGAGAGACAAAGAAATTTAAGAAAAATGGAGAGAAAATAACGTTTTTTTAGTTAGTGTCCATAATTTTATTTTGGTAACAATTTAGTTTCATGGTAGAGATTCAACGGAATTAAATTATTATAAATTAAAAAGTATATGAACGTTGAAGGACTAAATCGTTATTTCACAAAGTTCAAGGGCTAAAAAGTGATTTTTTTGACATTTTTTATATATAGTCTCTATAATTTAACGGATTTTTTTTTTTTTTGTTAATAATAAACTTAATGAAACACGACTAAGGATTAAATTGAAAATATTAATTTATGAGGGACTAAATAAAAAAATTTACATGGAAAATTTGACCTCCAAAATTCAAAAAATGGAAGGGATTTTTCTTTATGCTAAAAAAGACCACAAAAAGAAAATAAAGGATTTGTGTTTGTTTGTTTAATAATAATAATTATTGTTATTTTTTTTTAATTTACATTTATTTCTTTGAAGATATCATGAGGTTGGAAAATTAGATTTGAAATAAAATCATGAAAATGTCAACAAAAAAAAATATTTTTTTTTTTGGATGACCTTTATAATTTTCAGATTTATATCAAATAAGTATAAAATAAAATTGAAATTTTATTGTTACAAAAGATTGTTGGATTTAAATATGGTAATGGATTGGTACTTTTTTTTTTAATATATATATATATATATATATTAAGAAAAATAATTGTTAGTATTAGAATATTTTAAAAAATAATTATAATTTTAATAATTTAATTTTTACTCAAAAAAAAATATCGTGTTTAAATCATTATAAATTTATGGCTAGGTTCGAGTATTTTAAAGAAAAAAAATGAGGTGTAAAATAATGGAATTTACAGAACCGTGTGGTGATTCTTAATTTCTATCAAAGTTAGAATACAATGAGCGTGTAGAGGATCATGATGAACTTACTTGGATTATAAACTTAGGGTTGTAAGGGGATCAACTCGTCGAGGTTGGCAATTGAACTGTTTGACCCAATTGCCTTCTTCCTCTAAACCCAATTGGGTTGTGGGTTGAGCTTGTAGGTCAAAATGACTGTTTGACTCGAATTTGGACAGTGTCTAGCTTGTCTTGTCTCGACTTGACTAAAAACAATTTTTTTTTTTTTGCGTAGAAACTTTAAATAAGAACTATATTGATGTGAATGAAATATGAACACATTAATTTTAGTAAATTCCTTTCCATATCAATAGATTTTATGATCTAATGTCTTATATATCTATCAAAATTGATATTTTCTATTGTCAAATCTGGAACGAAAGCCTCTCGTTTTCAAACTCTTAATTTCTCTTTAATTGATGAAAATTGACTTAGGAAGTCCTACTTCGAGAAAGTAAGAAAGATTACGAACATATCAATTTGACTTTTTTATTCGGGAAGACTTTGACCCTGTCTCTTGTTCAAAATAAAACCATGGAAATTTTTTTGTATTTATAATTGATTTTTTAACCGTTTGAAAATTAATTTACTATTATTAGTTACTAATTGATTATTTTAAAACATTTTAATTAAGAAATTAAGAAATTAATAATAATAATAATAGTAACAATAAACCTTTAATTCAAACCGTGGATGATTAAATCAAACATGAACTTAGAAATTTTTAATATTTATATTATTGAAAATTAGTTTATTCAAATATAATACAAATTTCAAGAAACGAAACTAACGCCCTAGAAATTTTAAATTTGACAATTGTCACAACATTTATATGTTTTAGATTATGACTATATATATATATATATATATATTGTTTGTTTGTTTATTTTAATTAGAGATATGTGTGAATTAAGACTAAATTATGACTATTTATTTATTTATTTTAAATAATGAACCAATCCAATTATTTATCTATTTAAAATATTTAATTGAAATTTATAACTTAATTTTAATTTATATTTTGAATAATTATATTCCAAAAGAGTTAAAAATTATTTTTAAGAGTGGTTCTAGAATAAATGGTAAAAAAATAATTATGAAATAAAAAAATATGTATATATAATTGTATTATAAGTAAAAATGTATATTTTAAAATTAATAATAAATTTGATCTAACGCTTGAATACATAATTATTTGCTTTCGAATCTTTCAACTTCTGATCTTCAATGTACTTGTTCTGTGCATGTGAAAACGATGTTTTCTGTTACAGTAGAAATCTCATTTTCCACCAAAACCCAGTACTCCTTTGAACGCAAAAAGTTTTTCATGAGCCAATGATTATAGTCCCCATCAAATTTCGGAATTGCAGCACAGATGAACTCTCTATCGACGTACTTTTATTATGACACATGTAGGAACTAGTGCTTCTAGTTTTAACTATCGACGTACTTTTATTATGACACATGTAGAAACTAGTGCTTCTAGTTTTAATTTGGCTTTGATGCCAAATGTTTAGAACAGAGAGAAAAAACGGGAAAAATTTTCGTCAACAAATCTAGTTTTTGGGAAATTCATGAACCAAAAAAAAAAAAAGAAAAAAAAATCATTTATTTGAACCAAACTCAACCAAATAAGTTCACAAACTAACTCAAACTGTCTGGATTGGATGGGATAATAGACTATATGTGCTAGTGGTGTACTTGAACTGTTACATAATCATAATTTATTTTATCACCATAATTACTCTAATTAGCACGTAATCTCATTTTATTTATATACATCATAATTAAATAACTTTGAAATATACACACAATCATACATTTATTCAATATATATAATTGACGGGAACACAAAGGTTAAGGATTCAAAGGTTTTGAATGCAAAAATTCAAATTTCAACCATATAGTAAAAAAAAAAAAAAAAAAAAAAAAAAAAAAAAAAAAAAAA